CCCCTGATACCCGTAAACACTCAGCGTACGGTAACTATTAGAATTATTACTTTCATAATCACTGCCCAGTGGCCTGGAATTCTCAAGCATATTCCCAGACGTTGGCATTGGAATTTGACACTGCCTTTCCTCTGCAGCTGATGGAACAGGTGGAGTGTATGAAGCGTGCAGTGTGGGACCTGCCAAAAACAGGTGTTCAGTGAAAGTGAGTTGTTCTCATTTCTCCCCCTTTAAGGAAGAGGTCACTGGATGAGAGAAGTTGGTACTGCCCATTGTCATCATTAAAACATAAGCAAAATTGTGCATACTTTGAATCTGGAAAGCAAGTGGCTCGGCTAGAAAGAATAGTACAGTAGTGCCCCCTTCCCCATGGTGTCAGTCACGTGAAATCAACTGCAGTCTGAAAATATTAAGTGGAAAATACCAAAAATAAACAACTGGCAGTTTTGAAATTGTGTGCTGTTGTGAGTGGCCTGATGCACTCGCGTGTTGGGCTGCTTTGTCCAACCTGGGGAAGGGCTCTTTCCTTTGTCCAGCTTATCCGCACTGACTGTGCTCCCCGCCCATTAGCCAGCTGGGTTATCACATCAAGTGCCATGGAATCACAGTGCTTGTGTTCAAGTCATCCTTATTTTACATCATAATGGCCCGAAGCACAAAAGTAGCAATGCTGGCGTGTTGTTAATAATTGGTCTGTTCTATTAATTATTATGAACCTCTTACTGTGACCAGTTTATGAATTAAACTTTATCATAGCTTTGTATGTACAGGAAAAAACATAGTGCATATAGAGTTCAGTGCTAACTGAGGTTTCAGGCGTCCACTGCAGGTCTTGGAGCAGATCTCCCTCCGTTAAGCAGGGGACCCCTGTAACTCCTGTCACGACTCAGTGAGAAGAAGATAGAGGCATGCTGGCGGTGAGTGTTAATGAGCACCTCAAGTAGCCAGACCAAGTTAAGAGAAAGAGCAAGTACAGTTTACCCCAGATGAACTCACCTCCCAACAAAGCAGGGAAGACTGGTCCAGCCCTCAGCACCATGAAGTGCCTCAGCAGCACCAGGTGCCTGTATCTGGATAGGGACTGTGGGGACGAACTCATTCCTCTGCCCTAGCTGTGGCTGCAGAAGCCTTTGGGCCCTTTGAAGACAGTGCTGTTCAAAGTGCAGACTGAAGTCCCAGAAAGATGAATGTAGGCTCTCCACCATTTTATTCAAATCCTGCATTCCTTTTACCAACTGTACTTCATGGGAAAAATAGTTGTCCCTCGGCAAATCGGGAATCACAGCTTCCCCTTAGGCCACAAAGTCGTGACGGGATGAAGGTCAGAGTAGCTGATGCCTGGAGAGCGCCATGTGCACTGGGTGGTGCAGGCCTGTCTGCTGTGTTTATTGCCACTGGTAGCAAAATGCAGAAGGACCTAATAACCAGAAATACACAGTGATGCTCCTGTAGGGGCTCTCAGCAGAGTCATTGGACTGCAGAGTTCAAGGGCACCTTAGGAAGTGTGAAGCCTTTTGTCGCACAGCAGATATGTAATGAAATAGACCTCGATCCACTTAGCACAGAAGAAACCCTTGGGAGAGAGTGTCATGAGGGCATTGCTCACTTCTCACCTGGGCCCTGGGGGGGCTGGACACCTTTCCCCTTGGAGGCTAAGAGGCCCTGTCCTTGCAGTCAGTTGAACAGTGAAATTTTTTTACTCGAGTTATGTTTTATCCAAAAATAACCATTTTGACAGTTAGCTTGCAGCCAAATGTCCAGGTGGTTTAGTTTCGTTTGGATACACAGTGTAAAATGAATGTAAAGCAGGGCTCAAAACAGCCTAGGGAATTAGGGCTTTTTATCTCCAGAAATGTGAGGAATGTATGGATCTATATCCTTCATGCGCTAGACCCAGATTTGTATAGGAAGTGTCAGGGTCCTATCCAACCTTGTTTAGGGCTCATGTTAAAATTTCACTGAGAATTAAGAGCCCTGGCTGTCAGCTCCTTAAGCCTTAGGATTTCAGCAGAATCAGGCAAAGCATCTATCGTCTTCCTAGTCCTGTGCTATCCACCAGGTGATACACTTCTCCAGGACCGGACTGTTTTACTCCTTGGAGTGTCCCTAGTACCTCTGATGGGGCTTGGCCTGCCTGAGAAGGTTATTGACTTGAAACAAACCCATCTGTTGAGTGCTTATATGATTCTAGCCACCATGATAGCCACTTTCTGGATGCCATCTCATTTGTCTTGACACAGCCTTACAACGAAAGAGATTAAATTGTGCAAAGATAGTCCACCAACAAGTGGCATAGATAAGATTTGAACCCAGGTTTATTTGATTCTGTGAATTAGGGTTAGATGAGCTTCATTTGCCAGAAACTCTCACCATACATCGTTTTATACAACAGAGGTTTATTTCTAGCAGTTACATAACCGAAGTCTGGGGTTAGGCAGTCCAAAGCTGGTGGCGTGGCTCCGCAAAGTTGCTAGGGACTCAGGTACCTTTCCCACCCCTAGAATCTCAGCTTTGTGGCACAAGATGGCTGCTAGAGCTCCATCCATCATGTAAGATACCAAGCAGCAAGGATGGATGACAGGAAAAAAGGCGTGGCCTCTCAAAAAGGTTTTCCCATACCTCTCACACAGTGTTTCTGCTCACATTGCATTGGCCAGAACTTTGTCACATGACTATACCTAGCTCCACCGGCACTGAGGGATGGGAACTGGGGTATTTTAGCTGAGCAGCAATATGACCAGCCAAAAATCAGCATCTGACTCCTGAAGAGGAAGAGAAATATGTGTTGAGGAAGACCCTAGCACAGCCTCCAAACAGCATGTATTTTCTTTCTCTTTGGTTCATGGAACATTTTCTTTTCATCATACTTCATAGTTCATATATCTGAATCTCTCACTCAAGTTAGAGGCCATTTCAGAAACCAGAATATGATTAAAGGGATTCCAAAAATTGGCATAAATATAATTTCCTATTTATACATACTTGACAATTTTGGTTGCTGTAGTACATTTATCTTTCCAAGATTTAAACCCACTTTCAGTCCTTTTAAAAATTACCCGAAGGCACTCTCATACACTGTTGGTGGGAATTTAAATCAGGACAACCGTTACGGAAAACAGTGTGTAGGTTTCTCAAAAAACCTAAAAATAGAACTACCATATGATCTAATCCCACTACTGGATATTTGTCCAAAGGAAAGGAAATCAGCATGTTAAAGGAACACCTGTATTTCCATGTTTATTGCAGCATTGTTGACAATAGCCAAGAAACAGAGTTGACCTAAGTGCCCAACAACAGATGAATGGATATAGAGAATGTGGTACATATGCACAGTGGAATATTACTCAGCCTTAATATTAAGAATGAAATCCTGCCATTTGTAGCAATGTGGACAGAATTGGTGGTCATTATGTTAAGTGAAATAAGCCAGGCATAGAAAGACAAATATCACATGTTGTTACTCATATGTGGAAGCCAAAAAAGTTGATCTCAGAGAGATAGAGAATAGAATGATAGATACCAGAGGCAGGGAAGAATGTGAGGGCAGGGGGAGGGATGAAGACAGGCTGGTTAATGGGTACAACATGCAGTTAGAAGAAATAAGTCCGGCTGTTTGGTAGCATAGCAGGGTGACTATAGCTGACAATAACGTATATTTCAGAATACCTAGAAGAGATTCGAAATGTTACTAGCACAAAGAAATGAAAAATGTTTGCAGTGATGGTTATTTTAAATATCCTGATTTGATCGTTACACGTTGTATGCATGCATGCATCAAAATATCACATGTACTGCATAAATATGTGTAAATATTATCTTTCAGTAAAAAAGTTGTAACTGCCCAGAAGGACCACTAAACTAATTTTTTCATGCTTGCCTACACACAGCGACACAAGTTTCCTCATGTAGGATCACTCACAAACACTCTAATTTTTGAATTTGCAGGGGTGCCATCCACGTTGCCAGAAGCAAGTGAAATCCCAAAAGAAGGGAGGTTATGTCCGTTTTTGATAACTGAGTTGGTAATGAAGGGGGACAGGGAGAGCCATTGAACTCAAAAGCACAGAGACTGAGTGTCCAGCACTCAGACTTGTCATGGGAAGCCCATTCCTCTCCTCTCCTGCTCATCCAGGAGGTCAGGGGGTGGACTGGCAGCCGATTCTAGGTGGTGTGGCTTGTGGCTCATTGGTACTTCCCCCCACTCCACCTCCTGCGCTCTCTAGTTGTAGCCTCTGCCAAGTAATTGTCAGTAACAGCAAGAGACATGTTTTATTCTACCTCATTGTTACAGTAATTCATTCTCTCAGAAGAGCTGGTGAACAGACAGACTGCAGCAAGGAAGCAGAATAACCCGGTACGATACGCTGCAGCCTGCATGCCTGGAAAACAGTCACTTTATTTTATTGCATCTTTAATATAAAAATAGCTTCTTTTAGGAAAAAAATGTTCCTTAAACAAAAAGTACCCAAGCAAAAACAATTTGAAACCACCCAAAGCCCATCACTAACACACGAGAATGCTCTTTCAGGTTTATTTTTCTGTCATGTTTTCATTACTTTTACATTCAGAGAAGATACGTTAAGTAAAATTCTCAGCCAAGTAAAAAACTGAAAACTTCTGTCAGGTACAACATCATAGAGCCAGAAAAGTGTGCTGTGGCTTGGCCCGGTGCTCAGCTGACCGTGAGACCCTGAGTAAGCAAGTCAGTCTGTGGATTTCAGATCCTCACCTGCAGTTATGGAGTGGGGGACATTGGTACCAAAGTTCTTTTCCCCGCTCAGACATCTGTGATGATGACACATGAAACAGACTGTGAAATGTATGTGGGGTCACAGAGCTGACATCGAGTCCAGATGTTTCTTACTGAGGGGTCTGTAGATAGATTCCAGGGTAGGTCATCACCATAATTGGGTGGAAAATTTGCGTGCATCCCAAACTCGTCTCTGCCCTGGGAGAACGGTCCATTGCATTCACGAGATTTTCAAGGAATCTGTTCTTACCTCATAGATATGCACCTTCCATCCAAAGAAGTGAAGGGACTTGCCCCCAGTGGGCATCTGACCGCTCTTCCTGGAAGTCTGGAGAGCTGGTAGGCTAGAAGGTATTATCACTCCAAGCCCAGTGCTCTCCCCAAGAGCAGTGACCATCCTGGACCCCTCTTCCAAGTCTGTGATGGAAGTGAGTACTCTGTCTCCATCTGGCTCAGTTCATGGAGTCCGTAGGGGACTATGCAGCATTCTCTCAGCTTTTCCCTCCGGGCCTCCCCGAATCCCTTTAAGCAGCCTTTTCCCCCCGGAAGTAGAAGAGGAGATATAATGAGGAAGGGAAGCAAGACTAGGCTCACAGAACTGGGATCCTTATTCCCATTCCTCAATTTCTTAAAGAACATGTCAGCTCTCAAGCATTTTATCCTTCTCATTGGAGGTGAGGTGGCAAATCCTTTCTCAAGACTTTGTATAATAGCGTAAAGTGCCACAGTGTCGGATGCTGAAGGAAAATCCTCAGACTGATAGTTCACAGGCTGAGGGGGCAACCAGCTGTCAAAGGGAGTGGATTTGTTCTCTCTGCATGCAACAAAACAATCTCCAAAAGATTATACAATGGGAACACTGGTATTTGTGCTGAGAAGTCGTCACACAAAATGTTGTATCTGAAACCTACAGTGACCTTTTCCAAGCAGCCTTAGCCCTACATCAGAAGACAAATACTGCCAGTTTGCTTGACATTTTCTTTTTTTAATTTTAAGCATTCTTGATTTCAAATCGGCCATTGATCTGTTGGTTTGCTGCTCCAATGCAATTAAGTGAAGTCACATTTACTTCTGTTAGAGTCTAACAAAAACAACTGCTTTGAAACCCCACACCCTCCCCTGTATCTGCTTCTCCCTCACTCACCACCCGCCCCCTCCCTCGCCCCGAAGCCTGTCAGCCAACATGCTGTGCGTGGAGGGCGGATTGCAGAAAAGCTCATTTTTCTAAGCCTCAAATGAGAATCTTCAAAGTTGAGTTATGTACCATCATCCTGTGTCCAGCTTTAAAGATCAAATGTATTTGCTCACTTCTTACTTTAAATCCTTCTTGGCAGAGGCTGCAGAAAGCCTAGAAAGGGGATGGTTTGTTCTGATTCCAGTTGTTCACCCAAATGAAGTATGGAATTCAGCCAGGGGATGGTCTGAGCTCCACCTAGAAAGGAAGCTTTCAAGGTTTCAAAGGAAGTTTCAGGGTGTTGCTCTGGGACCACTGTGTTGAACAGATCTTAAAAATAGTTCCATCCACCGGCCTGAAAAGTCAAAGAAGGGACATGTGTGGTGGTTGTATGTGTAGCCAAAGCCCAGCCTTTAGAACTTGAACAGATTGAGGTTCTGGATGTATGTGGGCCTCTTGTTAATCTGTTGAAGAGCGTTCTTTCTAACTCTTGGTAACCCAGAGAACTGGCTGGGGAAAGAGATCTCAGTCGATTGTTAGTTTGTCTTTTCACAGCATCATTTGTCACAGTTCTGGTGCTGCTCCTGAAAGAGGCCCTGCTAGCACATAAGAAGCATCTGTCTGGCCAGTATAGCTTCTCGGGGGAAGCGGGGAGGCAAAGAGGACGCAAGAACCAACAAGAAAATAAATGGGCCAACTGTACAAGACCATTTAAAAATCAGCTCTGCCACTTGTTTTTCTTAATGCTCAGACCCTGTCTGCCTGTGATACATGCAATTTAGATGACTGAATTCCAAAAAACCAATTCAGCTTTTGTGTTTTCCAAAGGTGAAAATTTATATGGCTCTGCCTTTTCTTTCCTCTCATGATTAGAGTCAGGCCGCTCCACTTCAGCTGTCAGGCTCTTCCTCACAGAGTAACTTGGGGAAAGCCATTGGAAAGAAGTTTTGTTCTCTGGCCTGGTTATACCACTCAAAATTAGGTCCCACGGCCCACACATAATATTTAGGGTCACCATATAACCCAGCTCACTGGTAACACACCTGATTTGTGTCTTTAGTTCTCAAGATTCATAACACTTACCTTCATTCTCAAAAGTGTGGCTTTTTGGATGATAGGTTTTTAATGTGGTTATGCTACTTGTGGGAATGAAGGGAAGGAATGCATCTCTGCTTCAGAACTCTAATCTCTTCCTTTCTCTCACCACAGCTCCATTCGGCAGCCCTGGCATCACTAAAGGGAGATATTGTGGAGCTTAATAAACGTCTCCAGCAAACAGAAAGGGAACGGGACCTTCTGGAAAAGAAATTGGCCAAGGCACAGGTAAGGGATCTGGAAAGTTTTTTTGTTTTTTTTTTCCTTTAAAAAACAAAAAAAACATGGTGAAACCCCATTCCTACTAAAAATACAAAAAGTTAGCTGGGCATGATGTTAAGATAAAACATGGGTATAGAAATTCCCACAAAACAAATTACAGCTTTAGCAGCAAATACTCTGTCTTAGTCTGCTCTGGCTGCTGTAACAAATACCATAGATTTGTGACTTAAACAACATTTATTTCTCACGGTTCCAGAAGCTACAAAGTCCAGGGTGCCTATCAAGGGATCCCTTCCAGATGGCTACCTTTTTTTTTTTTTTTTGAGACAGGGTCTTGCTCTGTCACCCAAGCTGGAGTGCAGTGGCATGATCATGGCTCACTGCAGCCTCAACCTCCCAGGCTCAAGCAATCACACCACAGCCTCCCAAGTAGCTGGGACTACCAGCTAATTTTTTGTATTTTTGTAGATTTGGGGTTTTGCCATATTGTCCGGCTGGTCTTGAACTGCTGAGCTCAAGCGATCCTCTTGCCTGGCCTTCTAAAGTTCTGGGATTTCAGGCATAAGCCATCGTGCATAGCCTTTTAATTTTCTTCCCTTGCTTTGATTTTTCAAGGACTTCTATTATTTGTATGTTAGATCGTCTTTATCTGTTACTGTCTTAAATATTTTATATCTTTTTAAAGTTATTTCTCTTTTCTGTTTCTCTTGGGATGTTATATGTTGTTTTTAGCCTTTTTTGCCTTCTAGTATAGTCATTTCTAAAAAACATTTTGAATCTATTTCAGATTCTTTTCTCACTTCTGAATTTTTCTGATTCCTAATTGTGTTCTTTTCTGTCTCACGTCTTTTAGTTTATTTTGAAATAGTAGGCTATTATTTGGAGTGTTTTTGCTTGGGGGATTTTGTTTGCTTTTGGTCTGTGTTGTGGCATGCTTTGATGGTTTATAAGGATGTTCTGACCTTATTTTGTATAACTTAGTATGGGATTTGACGTCAGTATTTTTCTGTTTTTCATGTGAAAAATAATTTCCTTGAACTTTCAGGAGACAGGCTTTAAAATGGCTTTCTAAAGTGTTTTGAACCTAGCCTTCTGTTGTTTTCTTGTTGTCAAAAATGGCAGCTTACTTTCTGTCACTCTCTGTCTCTGTTCCTTTTACCTGCTTTTATCTGGATCTTTTCTTTCCTTTGTAATTCCCATCCTTTTCAATTTTATTTCCGCTCCCAGCAATTTCTCTTCCTGGAAGGCAGCCCTGAGGGCAGTCTCCAAAGTTCACAGGGACTAGCCTGCTGTAGCCTCTTCAGGTCTTACTTTGGCCCCCAGCACTTACTCTTCGGTCAGGCAAAACCCGTCCCAGTTTTAGCTACTATTCCCCAATTGGGCCTCCTTACGCTCCTGTGAATACCTTTTGTTTTTTTAGGAGTTTTTCAAGTTCTCAGATACATCAACCTTGTTTTCCTCTGATTCTCACCATGGTGGTGCCACTCAGATCTTATGGATGATGTTGGCTTCTTCTTACCTGCTTGGATTTTCTTGTTCTCAGGCATACCTTGCTCCAGGCTTTGGGCTCTACTGTGTAGGTGCTTTATTTTTATGTGAGAATTCAGAGAAATTTAAAAACCCGGCTATAGAAGCCTTCCAGAATGACCTATGGAAATTTTTGGAAAACTTTCATGTCTCATAATCAAAGATTGTTTGAGTAGAGGGAAAAGATTGTACTTAAGATCATCCACTTTCACGTTCGATGGGCATCTGAGGGAGATTAGCTTGATTACCCAAAGATAAATGAGTAGCTCAGCAAAGCCACCAGTGCCTTTTCTTACTATAGGGTATTATACATGACAAAAATTTTCAATTTTTACTTAGATGAAAATGTTACTTAAAATATTTTCCTTCTGATTATAAAAGTAATAAAATAGTGATAGAAAAAAATAGAAAGCATTAGAATATTTCAGTGGTAATCTCTGAACTAAAACTTTTTTAGTGCTTTTTTTTTGGTTTTACAGTGTTTTTTAAGAGAAAATTGTTATTTTTGTATTTTAAAACAACTAAATGGTGGTGACTATGCTTTCTAATTTATACCCACCCAAAGTCAATCATCATTAGCAATTCTTATTGATGAGAATTTGTTTTAAAAAAGAAAACAGGGAATGTGTTTAATTGAAAGCTGGCATGTACAATAGCCTTGGATTTTAAAAAGTGACCAGGAAGGTATTTATTAAAATTTAAGCCTACAAAGGCAGCTTATACAGAGGATGGTAAGAGGATAATAGAAATGTTTTTCTCTGCTAAGTCAAGGATTGATTCAGCTCTTTTTTTCACTTACAGTCAAGCCATCCTCATGAAATAGCTTTTGATGACTGATTTTACCCCTGATGATGATGGTCATATCATAGAACCATTTATTGATTCTCTTATTTGCGTTCTTAGGTGAAATAGATTTAAAAATTACTCTCTGCTCTTCTCACTGGAAATTTCTTCCCAATTCATATACTGGAACCTAGGAAAGAGAACGTGAAAAAAATGTCAGACTTACCATCTCATATCTTTAAAAAGATGACATTTATGCAAGAAAAAAATAAGAACAATGAAATGACTGCGCCACATTTTCTGTATTATATGCCGTGGTAAAAGATTCGTGTTTGAGGCTTTACCAGATTGTGGAAGAGCAAATTCATGTGTAAATTTATGCTCTGTGGCTCTGGTAAGTTTTTCCAGCTCTCTAAATATTGTAGTGCTATGATTAAAATGTAAGATGTAAATGGTGGTTATGTTCAACAGGCATTACCAAGAGAGCTGCAACATCTGTTGAATAATCATTAATGGTGACACTAGAACTGGTTGAA